TTATATTATCCTATTATAACTTAATAGTATTTTTACATGAATCACATAACACATACAAGAACATATCAATTCATATAATCAATAATACATACACTCATATTAAACACATGTTCATGTTCATAAATTCATGTGTAACACTATAGGAAATAGACTTGTCGCAAGTCTTATTTCCATCAAACATCATATACTATCGAATATGCACTCACCTGGCCTTACTAGTCAATACTGATCTCTTCTCTCTTCTCGATGACTATTACGTGTCAACTTGTCCAGACTTTGTACTCGATCGATATCTACACAATCATACATATAATATACATATCAATATTCCAAATAGCATACTCTAACTTTCATTTCTTAAACTAAAAGAAAGATATATTTCTATTTTCCCTTTTAAGTATATCGGTACCCACTATAGGGTATCGATACATCCCTTCACTGGTGTATCGGTACACTGCCTATGTAACGGTACACAAATTACATTCAAAAATTTCCGTTTCAATGGGGGTATCGATACCATCCTTAGTGTATCGGTACACTTTGAATATCTTCCTGAATTTGCTCTTGAGGTATCGGTACCTATTTAATGGGTACCGATACCCATTACCCAGAAATCACATTTCACGCACGAAAATTACTTCATTTCAGCTCAAACACTTCATATTTCATTCCTTCACATATACTTAACTCACCTACTCATACTAAAACTCATTAATACTCATTTCTCATATCTTAAACCTCAAAATCCTATCTTCTATATGTAATTCAAGAATTACACCAACTTTTCAACATGTTCTAATTCCAATTCTAACACTTCATATCTCTTAATTCAACCTTTGACAAGTCAAATTCATCAATGAAACTTCAAAAACCTCTTTATATCTAAAATTCATTTCTAAACCCTTAATAAAATTTCCTTTCTAATTCTCTCTTCTTGATGTTTTAAGCTTGTATAAGCTTTCCTTAAGCTTATATAACACCCAAAGAATAAATCCCAACTTAAAATCTAAGAATTAACCAGCTGAATTTAAACTCACCTTTTTCTATGAACCCACGGTGGAGAAGAAGAAGAAAGCTGAAGAAGAAAACTCTGGATGCTTTCTCACATTTCCCACGTTTTTATATTACTCAAAAAGGGAAGATAAAATCTTTCCTATGAAAATACCATTTTACCCCTTTAATTCATCCATCTTTGCTATTTAATCCAACATTAAAATTCTTTACTTAAGTCCCTGAACTTTTAACTTATTTCGAAATTGAGCATAAAATTTCCAAAATTTAGATTTTAGTCACTAGCTCTGATTTTGGGATGTTACAATATGGTTTAAGGTTTATGTTTAAATGCTTTTTTTTGTGTATACAAAATTTACGCATGATATGATTAGATTTTGGATATATGTGTTCTTATAGTTATTTTGTTTCATGCAATAGGATCTCAACACACTCATTCTGATCCAACACTTCAATTTTATTATCAATTAAATGTTTCCAAAACGTCCTCGACACAGTTCTTCTTGTGTCAAGTCTTTTCATGCACTAAAATTTAGAAGAGAGGAAGAGAAAAAAAATTTCTACCATTTCAAAGGAAGAAAAATTCGAGCCAAACTTTTTATGGACATGAATTTCATGTTCAATCCTAAGTATAACTTTGTTTTAAAGGAACCTTTATAAATTGGGTTTGACTTGATTTCCTAGCGTAGAGCCAAAATATTTTTCATACTTATTCGATTATTATTTGGTAATGCATCGGTTGTACATGAGCCTAATAAGGATAATATCATAAGAATTAATTCTTATGTAACAGGGAAGGATATTTGTGTGTGTGTTCGACTTCCTTAGCTACAGCTTTAAGTTTTAAGAATGAATGAGATTTCAATGAAAATGATTTAGAAGGTATTCGCATTGTGCAAAAAAATAGTCCAATTGATCTAGATTTAGAGGCTAGATTGTTTCACCTTATTGTCTCTTGGTTTATTTGGTTTTCTGGTGAAAATCTTCGTAAATTCGAGATGTAAATTATTGATGGTTAGAGAAGTATAGATCAAAAACATCTCCAAATATTGCAAAACTCATTTTCCTTACACTTGTTAATTCAGTGACTAAAGGTGAATTCATTACTACTTCACTACCCTATACGTGTGTTATTAGCCATATTTTCAGAAAGATTAACATTTATTCCTTCCCTGTTAATCTTCTGTAAATGACCCATTTCATAAGGATTAATTCTTCCCTGTTGACTAAAGGTGAATTCAGTGACTAAAGGTGATTTCCTTACCTGTTGACTTATACGTGTGTTAATCTTCTGTAAATGACCCATTTCATTTATTCCAGAAGATTAACATTTATTCCGCTAATAAATATGGATATAAATTTATAGAAAAAATCAATTGGACTGCAAAGGGTGATAAGAAAGATCCCATTGAAGCGGTACAAGACAAAGATCAATTGGACGCTATGGACGATAACGAGCATCCACAAATGGAAGATGTTAGGGATGAAGAGGAAATTACAATGAAGTTGTTAACCTTGTAAAAAGGGTATATTTCATGTCTTTTTAATTGGGTTATTGTTTAATTTCAAGTTCATTTAGTTGCATAATTCATGTATTTAGTGGAGTTACCTTGTTGATCTTTAATTTTCTATAAAATGATGTTGTGATGAGGGAAGAGTAATGTTTGATGGTGATTTATGCAGGTTTGGAACAAATAAGGAGAAATGATAAAATACAACAACATTCTGGATAATATTTATAGGAACAAAAAAAATGAGAAAATGAAGATATTTTTATAGATTTACACATAACCCTCAGCCAGTTGTGACCTATACGTGAAGGGAATATTTTCCCTGTGGCACATAAGGAATTAAGGGCACAAACCCTAGGAGCCCCAATATATAAAGAAAATAACACCTACGTCATTTAAGGTTGATTGGAATTTACAGGATAAGAGAAAGAGAAAAATGATCACTTTTCCTTTTTCTTATCTCCTTCGTGGTGACCTCCTTTGTTGAAAGCTCCACGGGGATATCAAGCTGGACTTTGAGAGAAGCTAGCAAATCTTGAGGTGATTCAAGGCAACACACAACACATAAGAGTTTCTTTTTCCTTTAATTGCTCTTACATTCTTCATTATTTCTTCTTGAGTTGTATTTAAACGAATGATTATGGATGTTTATTACCCAACCATCAACTAACCTATCTTGACTTGGGTTTATTTTCTATGATTATGACTTTTATGAATGATTGTTGAAGCATTTTCTAGCTTAATACTTGTTTTGTTCACTTGTTTGCTTAGTAAGAGCTTTCGAGAGTTAGTCATAATCTATGTTTGATGTTTAATATTCGAGAGACTAAAGTGTAGATCAACGTGGACAATGAGTTGAGGTGGGAAGCAAAACCTTAACTCACCTCAGAGATAAGGATATGGTTTCAAAGACTAAAAAAAGTAGGTATTCATGAATAGTTACTTTCTAGAGTTTATGCATAGATGCATTGCTTTAGCATTTTCACTGTCAATTTTTTCTTTAGTAACGCCCCATCAACTTAAACTCTCATAACATTTTAAGCGCGACCAAATTTATTACATAGAAAATTAACATTCTAGATCGCAATCTACTATCTTATTGATCGATAACATTATTTGGGGCAACATGATTTCTTATATATATTCATAACATTTTTAGCTTTTAACTTATTTTGTTACAGTAGGAATATCTAAGGCTCTATCAGCTAAACTCTGGTAATATTTTAGGCGTAACTGAATTTGTTACAAAGAAAATTAACATTACAAATCATAACATATTTTCTTAGCGACCGATAATATTCTTGGGCACACCATATTTCTTATAGATATTTATAAAATTTTTAACTTTTAATTTGCTTTGTTATCGTGAGAACGTCTAAGGCCTCGTAACCTAAACTCTGGTAACATTTTAGGCGCAACTGACAACGCGTCGTTTTGATGTCAAATAAATTATTTCTTAATCTCAAATAAAATAAAATAAAATAATATAGAGAGTAAGGGTCGATCCACACAAACTAAGGAAGATGCTGATGTAGATTGCTTCTGATTCTTTAAACTAGGCGAGAATAACTAGTAAAAGTAAAAATGGGGGCGGGGTTGAAAGATTATAAAGAAATATAAATATTAAAAGAAATTAAAAGAAATCAATTAAAAATTCAAGATGATTAAAAAGAGCCTAAGGCTTTCTCTTTGCCTCAAATTACAATCAATCTTTGAATAGCATTTTCCTCTAGTTAAATGATGGTTTGAGTCCTCAAGGTTTAATCCTTGTAGCTCATTTTCCTCTTTGGTGATTGATTTTCCCAAATCTATTTTAGGAATCGCAATCCTTGTTTGAATTAACTTCAAATATCGTTTGTTAACTCAAAACGGTTTAAAAGCGCTCGAAAAAAAAATACCCAACTCGAATTATGCTTTCTCTATGGAAGCCGAACTCGGTCCCAATTTCCTTTAGCATGTCATCGCTAAGTGTGTTCAAGGGAATTCGAAACAATTGATTCTTTAATCCCAACGTTAAACTATAACAACATCCAAGCCAAATTCTATTTTTGAAGTAAAAGCGTTTTGATTTTAAGAAAGACTGATCACCAATCTAGTTTTCATAAAATTGAGAATTTAACCTAAAAGGGTATGAGGTTCTTTTCAATTCTCACGTTAGGAATTGAGTCATCGCTTTAGCCTTTGACTATGAAAAACTTAGCTAAGTATGATAGAAACCATACTTAGCATTTTTAAAAGAAAACCTTTAAAGAAAAATGAATGAAAGAAAAATAAAAGAAAAAGTAAAGCTTTATAAAACTAAAGAAATAAACAAGAGAATTCGAGAAGTGAATAATTGAGTGATTTCAATGATGATTTGAGGCTTACCCCAGTGGGGTATTTATAGTCCTCAAAAACCCTAAAAATTACATTCAAAATCAAAAGATAATTTCTAAAATTAAAAATAAATAAATCCTAATTTAAATTTGAAAATTGCAAATGAGCTTCCTGTTTCCACCAAACTGTTGACTGGACCTTCTAGAAACTACTTACTGGACGCCAAAGTCAGACGCGTCATGCCCCAAGTCATGCCCCAAGTTTGGTGTTGTTCCCTAACCTACAGGTCAGGAAGACACACCCATTGGAGCTATGCCAGGATGTTATAGGCTTGGATGGAGACATGGACTTATTGAAGAGGTGGTCCTTTTTTATCCATCCTTTTCGTAAACAATTTGCATTTGTACCTCAAAACTGGTGCACAAGTGTTGTATGTCTTGTTTTAATGACATCAATTTCATGTAATTGTATGGTGATAAGCATTCCATTGATTATAGAAGTTATAAGCATATACAAGCATGTCACATACTTATTTTATGTGTCAATTGCGAAGTTGCTTTGAAGTGTGCATTATTTGTTGCAGGTGGCAAAGGCCCGAGATGTTGGCATTAATAGTATTGTGCTATTCCCCAAAGTTCCAGATGCTCTAAAGGTTTTGATTCTCCCAATAGAATCCTATTTGTTTCATATGTTGACGTGTGTAATTGTGTTTTTTTCTGGTGCACTTCAGTCTCCCACTGGAGATGAAGCCTACAATGACAATGGCTTAGTACCTCGAGCAATACGTCTGCTTAAGGACAAATTCCCTGACCTTGTAATTCAATGAAATTCATTCTCTGATTTGTATATTGTTCAGTGCCTGCAGCAGCCTTATGTGTTGTATCATGGTGATCACGTATTGCTTCATCAGGTTATGTATACGGATGTTGCTTTAGATCCATATTCCTCGGATGGGCATGATAGTATCGTTAGAGAAGATGATAAGACAAGATATATTTCATACATCTTTGGCTACTAAATTGGAGTATATTATGTAAAAGACGTTATTCAATTTCAGATGCAAAAAGCCTAATTAATCAGTAAAGGGTTTAATTGAAGATATAAATTCAGCCTGGAAGACATGCGGTCCTCTTCCTAATTTGTTCTTTGATCTGCCAAGTTGCCATACAAGTTAACTTAAAACAGTGATACATGTTTTCTTTACAAAAAATGTTAAGAATAACTTAAAACAGTGATACATGTTTTCTTTACAAAAAATGTTAAGAATTTCAAGTTTTGGCTATTAATAAAATTCTTAATTGGTTAAAATATAATGTTTACATGAATTTATTAAGTTCTGCATAGCTATGAGCATGGAAGTATTAACTATTATGTCTTTCCTTTACCCTGTAGGAGCTATAATGAATGATGAGACTGTGCATCAATTATGCAAGCAGGCTGTGTCTCAGATAATATTTATAGATTTTTTTGTTTTTAAAACATTATTTAACTTAGGCAGAAATCTAATGTATTCTTTAGAGTTCTAAACGCAATAATGGTGATGTCTTACTGCCCTTGTGGTGCATTTGTTGTGGCCACTAGCCACTGATGTCTCATGCAAAATTTTTCAGTGATCTTTTCACGTTTGTGATTTTTTTTCTCTCCTATACTCTTGATACATATCTAAGGCATAACTTTTATTAATACTGTAATTTGAGGAAAGGGTGTAATAAGACGACCTTCTAGCTCCTCATAAGAATCAGGTGTCAGTAGTTCGTCTCTCTTCGGTGCTCCTCAACGTCTTCCACTGTCCACCGTCATTATCCTCCGGCATTTCTCACCGTCGTCCGCTGCCACTTTCTGACCGCCGTTCGTACCCAAAATTCACAGGGAGGTTTATTCTCTTCACCGTGTTTCCGAATCTGGACCTTTCTTTGCGAGAAAAACTCCCAATTGGCGTAGATCCCATGTTGTAGGCGGCGACTTTTCACCTTCTTCAGCGCGTTTTGGTGTTTTTCGTCGTTCCCATCCAAGACCCATAAGATATAGCTCGTGCATGTCCTGGTAAAAGCCCCACTGCGCATTTTCTTTTGTGGTTCACGGCGTCCCAGTCGAAGACCCAATAATTTCTCGTCTTGCATGTGCTTTTCTGTCTACTCTCGACTCCTCTCTGTAGCATGGTGGTTGTGTCCGTTTGGTCTTATCTAACGTGGGTGTGTCTCAATGAAGGATGGGTGTTGTGGTAACAAGTCTGGTGCAGTTGTAACAAGTGGGAGAATCGATATTAATAATTGGTAAAAGGAAGGCCACCCAAAAAACAGTAATGGGTACAAAATTGGATGTTATATGTTATACATTGAAAACTTACCATAGAAGATTCATTGGAAGAGGTTTAGATCTTTATTTTGCACCCACGGTCAGGTAATTGATGACTTCATTTCAATCAAAAGAAATACAAAGGGGGTTCGTTTCGGGTTCATACGCTTTGCAACAATTGAAGAATCTGGGAAAACGATCTCAAAGATGAATGGTTCTCACATTGACAGCAGCAAAATTGGTGTCTCTTTGGCCAAATACAACCCTCGACAATCTTATTGGAGAAAGTCCTCGCCAGTTGTCCAAAAGACTAGGATGGAAGTAGTTACAAGGAATAATCTTTATGTAGTAGAAGGTGTTGTTGACGAAGCTAAACTTCAAGTGTTGGGAAATTGTCTAATGAAGCGGTGAAAGAACTTTATCAAAATCGACAATCTTGCTAGCCAAATGCAAGACAAAGGCCTCGTTGGTTTCTCATTAATGAGAGCTGCTGGGAATGTAGTTCTATTGATTTTTGAAAAATCTGCTACGTTGAGAAGTGTGAAGAATGAAAAATCAGATACTCTTGCAGAGTGGTTTTCCAGAGTTACAGCTTGGTCAGAGAGTCTGGTGGTGTCGTCGAGTGTGGGTAGTTTGCGAAGGGATTCCTTTTCATGCTTGGAATTGGGGTACTTTCAAGAACATTGCAGCAAGGTGGGGCAAATTATTAGTAATCGACGAAAGCTCTCAATTTTCTTCGTCTTTTGATCGGACAAAAATTCAAATCCTCACAAAGGCTCAGGCGAGAATTGATGAGTCGGTGGGTTTGAAGGTCGGTGTTAATTTCTTTAAAATCCTGGTGCATGAAGTTGAGCCTTCCTTCAAACTGAAGCCTTGGGTCCCTGAGGAAGTCGATGATTCATTATATCTTGTTTGTTCTCTTGGGGCTTCGCAGGACACTTCTCAGTCAAGGTCGTTGGTTTTCTCCTCAGGTTTAAATTGCATTGACAAAGATGTTGCAATTGGAGCTGCCAACCTAGAAAATGTTTCACTCCTAAAGAGTGCCAAAGGTGTTGAGGATGATCTAATTAAAAGCGGGTCTTTCGGTGTTGGGTTAGGATTGTCTCTATTTCCTTGTTCAGATTTAGGGATTCATTCAACGGAGGCTTTGAATCATTCATACATAAATAGCGTGGAGCATCTAGTTGATAAATCAATTGACCCTTCTGATGGAGTCAGCCCTCAGGCCTCGAAAGATGTTCTTATGATGGGTCTCTTCCCTTCTAATGGTCTACTCGGTGACGCAATACAATTACAAGAAGATACCTCAATAGTGCCCCCTTTCCCTGAGAAATTAAGTAGAAATCGTGTAGTGAATAGAGGTAAGAAAAAGAAAGGAGTTTTGAATAAAGTTGCTAGGACAAATTGATTGATAGGAAGGAAGTTTGGTTTTGTTTCATTGAAGATATCTTTAGGAGCTGAATTCATTTTGGTGGTATTGGATCGTGATGGTTCATTTAGTGGAGTTCTCTTCTCAGGCGGAAGAATTCGTTTTAATGGTTGCAGGTGTTGCTTTACTGTTATGTTATGTCCTTAGGTGTTGGGTTGATTTTCTTTTGCTAGAGGTGTAACTTAAAAATAGGGTGATTGTCTCTGGGGCTTTTTGGTTGAGGATGTGAGAGTTTTAAGTGTTTCTGGTTTTTTGTAATGGGAATTATCCCTGCATGAGGGTATTTCGTGTTTTCAAATGTACTGGGTGTTTTATTTAATGAAATATGAAGTACTCTTTTCTTCATTCCAATGTTCGTTAACATACTTGTTAGTATGTGGACTAATATGAAGGGAGTTTTTAACGATACCTTCACTTTTTTTCAAAAAGGAAAGGGTGTAATACTTGGAGTTTGCTAATCATTTGAGTATATATTGTAGGTCTCTTATGCATCTTGATTTGATATGTTTTGATTTTTTGGGTGGTGTATTCTTAAAGGCCCGAGCTGGAGCTGATGTTGTCAGTCCTAGCGATATGATGGATGGGCGCGTTGGAGCTATTCGTGCAGCCCTCGACTCTGAAGGCTTCCATCATGTTTCTATCATGTCCTATACTGCAAAGTAATTTAACTATTTCCCCTTGCACTCCTGCAGTTCTCTGTGTTGAAATTGATATACAACTCTCGGAGTTATCAAGAATATACAGAAGTGTATCTATTATCCAATGTTAAGCAGTACATTTATACATGAGTTCATAGACTTAACAGCCTTCTAACTGCTCCTAACCACTCCAACAGACTCAACAAACTGCTAACAACCTACTCATTAATTGTGCACACACACTCTAAACTACACTGAACACACGCAAACTAACAGCAACATATGCGAACTCACGAAAGCATGAGTTCATGCTTCAACATTCTCCCCGTCCTTCTCGGTTGTTCTCGTTTCAGCTACTTGAACTTTTTGACTAAACAGAACATGTGCAGACTTAGCCAAAGGTTTGGTCATTCCATCAGCCACTTGATGCTCTGCTGGTACGTAACTAACACGAACAGCTCCACATTATACCTTTTCGCGCACAAAGTGTATGTCCAATTCTATATGCTTCGACCGTGTATGAAACACCGGATTAACACTCATGGAAACCGCACTCGTATTGTCACTCCATACGACCGGTATCGCATCAACTTCTTCCCCCAAGTCAGTCAACAAGGACTTCACCCAAATCACCTCAGCAACTGTATCAGCAATACTACGGTATTCAGCTTCTATTGTTGAACGAGAAACAACCTTTTGTCTCTTTGCACTCCACGAGATCAAATTGCAACCAAGGAACACACATGATCCTGACACCGATCTACGATCATCAACATTACTGGCCCAGTCAGCATCTGCAAATGCAGTCATACTGCAAACTTCAGCTGCAGAAGAACGTCTAAACACTAAGCCACATTCAATCGTTCCACTCAAGTAACGCAATATCCACTTAACCGCAAGCCAATGACCATCACAAGGTCGATGCATGTACTGAGCTACCCGATTAACACTAAAGGCGATATCTGGTCTTGTATGACTCAAGTACAACAAGGAACCGACTATGCTTCGATATGTCCATGCATCCGAAAGCGGCTTCCCGGCATCACTAGTCAACTTCGATGAAACCACCATCGGTGTAGGTGCAGGTTTAACAGTAAGCATAGCAGTCTGTTCCAGCAACTCTTTAATAAACTTGCGTTGGCTCAACACCAACTTCTCAGAGGTCCTATGCACTTCAACACCCAGAAAGTATCCGAGCTCTCCCAGATCTTTCAACGAGAACTTCGCACCAAGTAGATTAACCACCTCATTAATAGCATCATTAGACTCACCTGTGATGATAATGTCATCGACATATACCAGCACTATTATACGAACATCACCCACTCGGCGGATAAACAAAGACGCATCAGCCTTCGTACCACAGAACCCGAGCTCCAGCAGGTAATTGCGCAGCTTGGCATACCACATGCGTGGTGCTTGTCGCAATCCATACAAAGCCTTCCTCAGCCTACAGACAAGCCGAGTTCCATCACTAGCCACTCGTTCAAAACCCGGTGGTTAAACCATGTACACCTCTTCTCCAAGCTCACCGTTAAGGAATGCGTTGTTAACATCCACCTACCTTAAACTCCAACCTCGAGTCACAGCAAGAGACAACACAGCATTTACAGTAGTAGTCTTCATCACCGGACTAAACGTGTCACCGAAGTCATGGCCAGGTACTTGTGAGTAACCCCTCGCCACAAGACGTGCTTTATGCTTCAACACAGATCCATCTGCATTAAACTTAACCTTGAATAGCCATTTGCAGCCAACTGCTGCTCGCCCTTTTGGTAATGGTTCTAACGTCCAAGTGCCATTCCTCACCAACGCATCATATTCAACCAATACTGCTTCCTTCCATTGTGGATCTTGAAGCGCTTGCTTTATCGAGCTTGGCTCTCCAACATTGCCCTGAGTTTGCGCAACAAAAACTCTTGGTTTAAAAATCCCTCGCTTACTGCGTGTAACCATTGGATGCTCATTGTACACCGAAGGACAGACTGAGGTAGCCTCAACACGGTCTGTCTCAGCAACAGTCTCAACACGGCCTGTCTCATCAACCAACACACCACCAACCTCATTGATCTGACTTTGCTCCAACCCCACCGAGCTATTGTCTTAACTTTCACCAACACTTCCATTCTCAGTATGTCGACTCACCCTACTGCTCAATGCTCCAACTTCAGCAACTGTTGGCACACCGTTAGTACACACTGGGGTATATCGACTCTCTTGAACAACTGGTTGTGTGGAATTACCACAAACACGTTGAGCACCAGGAATTACAACCAACGAAGCTCTACTACAGGGTTTTCCCACAGCAGTCTCATTCTTCTCACCTCCAGACTTAGCGAATGGAAACTCATGCTCATCAAAAACGACATGCCGAGACACATACACCCGTCCATCCGATGCTAAGCATTGATATCCTCGATGATTGATGCTGTACCCCAAAAACACGCACGATTGTGACCTGTACGCAAGCTTGTACGGTTGAAACACCCGTAAATGAGGGAAACATCTACAGTCGAACACCCTCAAATGATCATACGTAGGGGGCTTCCCAAACAGTCTCTCAAACGGAGTACGGCCTTGAAGTACCTTAGTTGGCAACCTATTAATTAAGTGAGCTGCTGTTACGACTGCAAAGGACCAGTATTTCAACGGTAATGAAGCTCGAGCTAATAAAGTCAAAGCCATCTCAAACAAATGCCTATGCTTCCTCTCAACAACCCCATTCTATTGACTAGCATGAGTTCATGCTTCAACACTCTGTTCGTATCTATTACCAAAAGAAGGTTTCTTTGAAGTGTGGTAACAGATCTATGACGATGTTGAACCATTGCATAGGTTTTACTATCTTTTTGCTTCCCCTATCAAAAAACAAAAATGATTTGAAGCAAGAAGAATGGTGTTATTTTGTTGGCTTGCACGAAGAAAATAATCCTTTTCGTGTTGATATCTAATTGCATAATTTATTATGGGTTATCTTACCCTGTGCTCGTTAAATATTTTGGACAAAAAAATTATGTTGAGAAAAAAATATTCTTAGTTATTCTTGGCTGCTTGGGTGAAATTTGTTGTAATTGTTTTTCGTTCTTTTTCCTGGCATAACAGATACTCAAGCTCATTTTATGGTCCCTTCCGGGAAGCACTGGACTCAAATCCAAGATTTGGAGATAAAAAAACGAATGATTTCACTTACATGTATTGTAATTAATACAATTTTTATGGGATTTTTTCATTGTTAAAATTGATTATTAATCTGGTTTTTTAAAAACAGGTATCAAATGAACCCCGCAAATTACAGAGAAGCATTAGTTGAGGCTCATGAAGACGAGGCTGAAGGAGCTGATATTCTTTTGGTCAGTATGGTTTCTTTATGGAACTTTGATTTCTTTTCGTTAATCGCTAAGCTCCCACCATGTTGAAGTCTATCTGATTGGATCACAGGTCAAACCTGGTCTTCCTTATTTGGATATCATAAGACTTCTCAAGAACCATTCTCCTTTGCCTATTGCTGCATATCAGGTATTCTCTTTAACTTTTTCAGTGTTCTATGTTAACTAATGCTTCCTTTCTTTGCACTGCTTCACTTTCTAGTTTCTACTCTATCCATTTTTTTCAGGTTTCCAGCGAATACTCCATGATCAAGGCTGGTGGTGTTCTCAAAATGATTGATGAAGAAAGGGTAATGATGGAAACCTTGATGTGCCTCTGCCGGCCCGGTGCCGACATTATCCTTACATATTTCGCACTAAAAGCTGCAAATAGTTTATGTGGTGAGAAAAACTTGGTCTGATTTTTCCTTTGATGAGGCCTTTGGTTGATTCTGCAAGAAAAGCTTGAGGCTGATAATTTTTTCCATTAGAGAATGCTAGATGTTAGAACAAGTCATAGTTGTTATAGAACGGTTGACTCGGCAGTTTGTAGTCCATGTCCCCGTAAATCTTGAGTAAATAAAAATAGAATGTTGTCGTTATATGTCGAATCTAAAATGATGTGAATTTTCAAATGATGGTATTATGTGTTCTGTTTTTGGAACAATGTGAGAAGGAATGTATGTTAAGATTTTTTTTTTCATGATTGTTGAAACAATGTTCAATTCGATGTTCTTAATAGAAAAGTTGAAATGCATAGTACAATTACTTGGAACACTCAATAATGTTTTAAAATTTACTACTACATTCAAACAACAGAGCCATATCCTCTGCCTAATATTAACATGTAAACTGCCAAAGTGAAAAATCTTGCCCTTTTACCTTACCACATCACATTGCAAATTCTCTGGATTAATCCCTGCCAAAGTTGATCTACAATTTATCCCGGTCAAAAGGGCTACTTTTAACCACGTTCATTGAGATACCTTTCTGCAATACTTGCATGAACGGCTGCACCGATGGGAAGAACATCTTCGTCGATCATAAAATACGGCGAGTGACCGGTGTGTATAGACCCCAAGGTTTCGTTCCTTACCCCGATGTAGTAGAATGCTGCCGGAACGATCTGAGTATAAAAAGAGAAGTCTTCGGCACCCATCATCGGTGGAACCACCCTGAAATTTTGTGGTCCTAGTAAATCAGTGGCCACCTTTTTAACATGTTCATACATACGGTCATCATTGACTGTTGGTGGGTAGATTGTTGAGTCATTCTCGAAGAAATCGACCGTTGCAGAACATCTGAAAACACCAGCCTGTTCCACGACAACCTGGTTTTCGGGGTCGGAAATTGGATGTTAGAAGTTGGGAAACACGGTTGAATTAGGCTTAGAATTTGAACTTAAAAAGCATGGGATAAGACCTCTTGTATTCTTTGAAGGAGGTTGTAAAAGCTGGTATTGGAGAAAGCCCTGAAAGTGCCTCCAATTATAACCGTGTCGGGGATCATATTAAGATTGCTGCCTCCGTTGAAGGAGGTGACAGACACGACCTGCATTACAATATAAAAAATTCAAAGAGTTGAAATCTTACAACTTTTAAAAAAACCAACGACAACAGCAACAAAGATAAAACCTGGGAGTCCAATGGATTTGATTCACGAGAAACTATTCCCTGCAAGCTAATTACGGCAGCTGAAGCAGCTAAGATGGGGTCAACTGAGTGGTGAGGGTTGCTGGCGAGGTCTTTTCTTCCGCTGATAACGGCTCTAAAGAAGCCACAGCCGGCGAGCAGTGGGCCAGTCCTTGAGCCAATAGTAGCCGTGGGGTGCTCGTGAGAGACATGGACTGCGAAAATGGCCTCCACGTTTTCCAACGCACCGTCGCCAATCATCCGTTTAGCACCATTTCCGGCTTCCTCAGCTGGCTGAAACAGCAGTATAACAGTTCCCTGTGACACAATGAAGTATGAAATGAACACATCATTTGTAACTTTGTCATTGCTTCAATACCAACACTCAACAGTTGCAGTTTTTTTCAGTCTAAAGAAATGTTTGTATTTTATTAATTTCAATTGTGAAACCTAAAACTTCAGGTTAATTCATTATTATACTTGCTCTCATCAGTCTTTTTTTTTTTTTTTTTTGCAAATGAGGACAAAACTTCAAATTTATCAGAATAATAATCAAACTAGGGTTACGTCCCTCAGACTTAAAATACTTGAACTCGCAGAGCAACCATTAAATAATTTTGAACTATGTGATAACCAAGACTTTCTTTTTAATACGTTAATTCTTCCTCTTCTTCAACATCAACACTACTTTATGTTTTCTGAAGATTCGCCATTAAACAAAGTGGAAAAGTAACCTAGACCCTTCATTATTAAAAGCTTCTGCCATTACTTTATGCAAGGAATCATTCAATCCAAGCTTTTCCGAACAAGGCAAAATAATTAATGCATCCCCCACAATATTCCAAGCTACGGTCATCTACTCATGTGCAATTATTGTATGTATTTCTCTACAAAACTATATATATACACAAAGATGGTTAATATTTTTGAAATTCACAACTCAAGCTAGTTTCCAGAAAGACCCTAAAGATTCTTATTTTAGAGGAGAAAAGTTGAGATTAGAAGATCAATGCACTAGTGACTAACCTACTAGCTTTAAGTATTCCAAAAAATAACATGGAACTAGAAGGATAAAATCTGATCAGTAGGAACAGATCCAAACTGGACATCCAACTAAAAATCCAAAACCAAGACAAATTACAACCTATGAACATGATGTTTTCATGTAGGGTTTGCAAGTCATCATTCATGTTTTGGACAAAGGAGGGGAAAAATGGGTCATTTTCAAAATCAGGAATAGGCTGGATGATGATTGATCCGTAGTCACTTACTCATTTATTACTAGACCAGAAATTAATTTGCTTTGCTGTATCTTTTCTTATTTTTGGGTAAGAAATGGAATGTGAATAAGCAAAATGACAAGCAGCTAGAGATGAGTGAGAGTAAAGGACAAATTAATTAAGGCGGGTCAAATTCATTCCATAATGCAGCAAAAACTGATATTTATTGCCTGCACATGGCCCAGGTGGAGGCAAGGATTTCAAGGATTTTACCTTTGCAAACCAATCCTTTTATTCTTTACCAATTCGGTCTATAAAAAGAAAAAGAAGAAGGCAATGTCTCATTTTTTTTTATCTTTTATAATATAGAAATATTATTTTAAAAACTAAGGGGGGAAAATCTATGGAAGTTAAGGATTAATTTCCAACTTAAATTTATGATTTAATATTTTTAATATATATATATATATATATATTGATATGTAATTTTAGATATCATAAATGAAATAAATTAAAACATATAATCTTGATTTACTAATAATGCATAAAAACAACGCACCATTATAATTTTTCACCTTTAAAAATTAAATATATTGCATTATAAGTTAACAGAGAAATTACAAATGCATATTCATCCATTGCACCATAGTGAATATGTACATTAAGTAACTCGCTGATGAGAGTTAAAAAATAATTTTAAAAAAGGCCAAACCTTCAAGAGATGTTCCCGATTCTTCAATATTTTAGCAGCACCGACGAGCATGGCCACATGTGCATCGTGCCCACAGGCATGCATTTTTCCTGGAACTTTGCTTTTATGCTCCCATTCTACACCTTCCTAAAATAAAATCACCCCACTATAAGTGAATTGTGAATAAATCCAAAAAAAAAATCAAACATGCCTAATACTCAAGTTTAAGATGTAGAATAGAAATTTAGTTTAATCATAGTTTTGAAAAATAAAAAAATTAAGTAATATGTAAAATTTATTTTAAAAGTTCTTATTCTTATTATTATCTCAGGACAATCTATCTCGAAAATCGAACTTTTATAATATCCGTACTTATCAATAAATACACACCTTTTTGTTTGTCCTTAGTTTAGTCATGCATAGAAACCAACAAAACCCTAAATTAAATTCATGTTCATCACAAAAAAAATCAAAAATAACTTAAATTTTCTTTCACTTAAAAAACCCTAATATTCTCATCTTAGATCCACACATTTATTCATTTCTATTCCTTTAAGTTTCCTCAAATGGGCAGTTTGATTCAAACTTTGTAACAAAAATCAAAACCCTCAATATATCCAACCAAAAAAATTCAAAAACATTGTAAAAAAAAAATCATGAACCACCTCACCCATTTTGTTCTTACCCATAAAAGTATAAGCTACTTACCTTAACACATATGTACATATACTTTTGTAAATTAGTATATGAAAGTATATATATATATATATATATATATATATGCACGCACCTATACGTATATGTATTATGTATACATATATAGTGACAAAAAAAGAAAGAAAAAACTAGCTATTTACCTGTATAGGAAGAGCATCCATGTCAGCTCGGATGGCAACAAAGGGCGGGCCGCCGGTTCCAATCCAAGCCCGAATACCCGTTTTGGCCAAAGGGTATCGATAGTCAATCTCCATCCGGTCCAGTTCGGTTCGAATCAGCTTACTGGTTTCGTATTCTTCAAAAGCAAGCTCGGGGTTCTCATGTATCTTCCTCCTCAACCCTTTAATCCACTCTACGTTCTCGGGTTTCCGGGCCAGGCCCAGAACCGATTCGGAGCAGGTCACGTCCCATATCCTACAGCTGGTGGGGGGGTCACTTGAACAAGTCGACGACGTACGGTTCTTGCCGGCGTTTAGAGGACCCTTTGGATTGATGGAAGCTATGGCGTCGAAAACGGTGGGGTATTCATTATTATTATCCGACGAAGGAGAAGAACAAGTAGGAGATATGGAGTTGACAAAAACGAGAAAAATATTTACAAAAAAGATTGAAAAGATTAAGCTTAAAATTGAAACATATTGGTTCGGAGGATTCATGTTTGGATAGAGAGAAAACAAATGCAGAGGAAAGTTTGAAAAGAGAATTTGGAGAGAGAGAGAGGGAGTTAAAGCACGTGGTTATGAGGACGGGGAATTCGTCACGTGGGGGAATATGGCTGGGAAAATAAATAAATGAATATAAGGGAGTCAAAAACGCAGCTGTTATCGGGCCCACCATTTCGTGCAGCAGTTTGGATGAGAAGGATTGACACACTTCCCACCATTTGATTCTGATATTTACACACATAACTAATTGCTTATAAAATTTATATTTTTTAAGAAAATTAGAGCAAACACAATATAATATATATTCAAATATTATTAATTATTCGATAATAATAGTTTATGTCTTTAATATAGGAATTGTTCATATTTGAGATCTCAATGAATCAAGTCGCTTAATTTGTGCATTTATAATTATGTTATTTATTTATATATTATAAACCAATTTTTTAATTTAATTTATCTTATTTATAATGTTAATATTTAAAAAAAATAAATTTCAATTAAAAATATATATCATATTATTTTATTAAATTAATTTATAATTAAAGTTATATATATATATATAATATATATAATTAATTAAA